AAAATCACATCTGCTTAGCAAGAGAGCTTCATATTTTAGAGTTACGTTGAGAAAAATTTAGAAGGACATGATTTTTCCAGAATTCACCAGCCCTTCTAACTCCTTTGAAAAGGAGTACGCGGCTACTTTCCAGCGCTCCATAATCTACAAAAGAAGTACTATCGAAAATTTCTTTCTGAATGTACTGGGGGCAATACGCGCTGCTTCACACCTTTGCGAAGAAACGTCCGCAGAAAGTTTTGAGAATACTGAAATCGAGATATCAAGGACATTCCGCATACCGAAAGATTTGCCTTGATGAGCTGAGCACAATGCATTTTTCGGATTTAGAAAATATCCACTCCAAAGAAAGTTACGGCGAGTAGAATCTGGAAACGAGTGATTTTTCCAGAATTTACCAACGCTTTTTTCTCTTTTGAAAAGAAGCCTGCGGCAGCTTACTAGCGCACTATAATGCACAAGAAGAGCACTATCGAATGGTGCATACTGGAAGCTTTCAAATTGGATAGGCGCTGCGTTACATACTTGCAAAGGGACCTCCTCAGAACAATTTGAGAAAACTGAAAACAAGATATAGATGACATGACGTATGTAGAAAGATTCGCCTTGACGAGATGAACACAGTGCTGCTTTCGAATTTAGAATATATTAATTCCGAAGGAAGTTATGGCGCTGCATAATTTACGATAATCCGGAATCGCGAAATTTCTGGAATTTCGCGCAATTCCCGTTCTGTGAGTGGTATTGTACATTGCACAGCACGCGCGGCATTCCGCGATATGTGCTTCTCATGCGATTTCCAACCATTTCCCTTTGTCTTCCTGCATTTTGGGACCCGTCATACTTCGCCGAGAGAAGCCCACTTTCACACATATCCATGCAGAATGAGCTGCCCACTTTCACACATATCCATGCAGAATGAGCTGCCCAGTTTCACATATATCCATGCAGAATGAGCTCTTAAACTATACCTGCCCTATTTCTGCTGTGCTCAATGGAATGTGTACGTAGCCTCTGGAATAAGCACACTGAATGGTCCATTTACACTAAAATTCCAGGAAAGAAACTTATATCCCACAACTAGGCACATCCGTATATTGGAAGATGCGCCTCGCCGAGCTGAGTTGAATGGTACTCTTATATATAGAATTCATAAATTTTGAATCAAGATAAGGTCTTTTTTTATAAAAAGTTAGGCGTTGCGCGACAAAGTTAGGTGACTTTTGCCGCTTTTCCGCCGACTTTTGTCGCGCGACGCGGCAAAAGTCACCTAACTTCGGCGGCGCCGCGTAAGTTAAGTGCCGCCGCCGTTTTTTTTCACAAATTACGGGTGGTATTGTATATACCAGAAGATGCTACTTCAGTACGCAACCAAAAAGGATGAACCAATCGCAGTGTGATGTCAAAACTGAGTTATAAAAAATTCTGTCACCGATGAGTGCGTCATAAAGAATTTGAATTTCTTAAAGGCATGTACAGATACCTCTATTCCCTTCAAGTGAGAACTCAATGTCTAGGGACTCTTTTTGGGAACGAAGTGGGGGAAAAGGGTAAAGAGAAAATAATCTTAGCCAATTTCTCCGAAAATATTCATATTCGGCAGGCTCCATGAAAAGAACCTTGAATAATGAAGAACTTTCATAGATGATTTTGATCAATTACCTGGTTTAATTGCATATTTTCGTGGACCATGGACATCTTCGTCTTCTAATTAGCTCTCCTACCTTCGCCGCCATAAGTACGATGTGACACTTTCGAATGCAAGCCAACCAAATAACTTCTTCGCAAAGCGAATAAGACAGGAAGCACAATTTGTCATGTCAAGCAAGCGCTGTAATTTTTCATGAATTTCATTAGTTATTGAGGTCTGGGTTAGGCAAAATTCATGGGAAAGTAGCAAGGGAAAGGTCAGAAGTCGAAGTTATCAATTCTAGCGAGCTGCCTATCATTCGATTCAGCTCAACGCTGATTTCGAATCTGTATTCCTTATTCGCTTAGCACCTTTGTGAACGAAATTATAAACGGCTTTATTTCGAAAGAAATCTCACATAGAAATTGCGAAATTGAGCACATTGTTGCACTTTCAGCTCACCTTAGGCTTTAATGTAAAGTGACCAGATTGCATGCTTTGGCCCAGCATAAGCCGATCAGGGCTATGTGCTGCGAAATTTGCGCTTTGCATGCACGATTTCTCAGCAAAATGACGGCCTTTAACGGTTCATAATTTGCCCACAAAGGCGCCAAGCAGATGTGAAATACAGATTGGAAGTCAGCGTTTTAGCTGCAGCTAAAGGTATGCAGTCGTTTGGATTGGCCACTTCGATTTCTGATCATATCCCTGTAAGTTAGCTAGGTTTCTTTAGCCTAAGTGGGAGCCGATCCTTGCTATCAGCTTTCAAGCAACTGTCATAAAGGAGGAAACCAACAGATGAAGTCATCAATAGTTCTTAAGTATGATATAAATCTGACTTACTCAGAAAATAATTTTTACACATAACTGGTTTCGTGGCTAAGAACTAGACCGGATATATGACTTCCTCGGTGCCTCCGAGCTCATCGCCCTTTCATCAGTAGTTCCCGAGGAAGTGCAAAAGATTGTATGAAAGCATATGTATAGAGGTAGCCGTTAAATAACGATGAATAGATAAATAAAAGAAGAGTACTAAATGAACCATAGAAAGACCTGAATATGATAGGAGACAGTTCATTGAATGTATATGGCCTGATCTGAGAAGGATTTCCCGCTATCTATTTCCCGCTTTCCCATATTCTTGAATCCCTAAGTAATCGAAAAACAGAATATAGCTCTTGCTAGCCAAAGTTTGTCCTCTGCCGAAATGACCACATTCACTCCAAATTACATTACGGATGCACAGGCAGAATAAAGCAAGTGCTTCCCTCAACCAAACTTTGCTTCTCAAGTTTGAGCTCGATAAGCAGAAAGAGTAGATTGTGCTCAAAGTGCTTTTAGTAGTTTTCATCAAAAACATGAAATTCGAATGCAACCGAGTGTTTTTTGGAAAAATTTTCTAAAAAAAACTAGGCAAGGTTTCATGAAGCTGCTATGTATATAAGAGACCGGTTCTAAGTGTGTGAAAATCGACTGAAAGAGCCCAACTTTTGTGCTGTTTACTATGAATGACCACGAATTCCTACATACAGGGTGCGAAAAATGTGCACACTGTAAGATCCTTATTAACTTACTTGCCTCGAAGTCTTTTGCCGATATTTAGGTACCTTTCTATGGAGGTGGCTTCAATTTGGATTTACAGTATGAAGCGAATCTCCGATTCTTTTTCGGTAGTGTAGTGATGAACTTTGAAGAAAGATTCAAGCCATTGAGCCCACATTTTGCTTAGAAAACCAAAAAAATTAAGAGCTTCTATAGTAAGCTAATCGAAATCACTGATTTCAAAGACTATATTTGCACATCACAGTCATGCCTTCTTCCATGAGTTATTTTAGATAGCCTCAACATCTGATTTTCAATGCTATTCAAAATGTGAGACGCCATTAAAAAACGCAGAAGGCTTGTAATTAAGGTAAATAGTGAAATCAGCATGCCTGAAATTTCTGCTACGCAATTTTCCAGATTTTTCTAAATGTCAGACGGCCTTTCTCACATTGTCGCTATATACTGAAAGTCCCTATCGTGATTGTACAGTAAGGAAGAGCAATCGGTAACTCGCTTTGAACAACAATCTAAGTTGAAGTCATCACTACAAAATGGTACCTAAAGGTCTGTGAAAGACATTGAACACGAGAAATACTGACGATTAAACGGTGTTCAAAATTTATTGAGACACCTTGTATAAGAGAGAAAGGGACGGACTGGTGATGTTATTCAAACAAATTTACCATTCCGCCTCTGCAGATTTAAGCAAGATTTAGTACATCTCATCATTCTATGCAGAATCCACTAAGCAGTCCTATAACATGCAAAAAAGTGTCATCAGATGCTTAAGCTTCGGGCAAAGCAGAAGGGAAAGAAGATGACAATGCGTCTTTTTTTGGACGATGCAATCAACGAAGGATGACGGGAGAGGATAATAAAGCGGTTTTTTGATGCGATGCAATTGGCTGGCACCAGATATTCTTATGAGGAAAAGCTCAAACAAAAAATGATTGGCATCTGCAAATTTGAAGTCACATTACCCCAAGATATTGAGGAAGATACGAAGTTTTAAAGCTCAAAAATAAGGAAGTTGTAGTTAGAGAGTTTGAGATATTTATACTACTTCTATACTTCTTATACTATCGCTGTCCAATCTCATGTCTTTCACGAATATTTTCGAATTTATTAGGGATCATTTACAAATTCAATAATCGTTCTTAATTGCTGTAAGACTACGGTAAGAGCTGCACTCAATTATAATAACTGATTTAGGTGCCAATTCAAGAAATTAGAGGCTGCAGCCATTGTCATGGTTTTTACAGACAAGGAGATTCTGAAAAATAAGCCTGGTATTACTTATGGGGCTGCTTAGAAGATGTAACCGGAATTTTGAGAATCACAAGTTTAGCCTAACTTCCAAGGAAATAACTTTATGAATTTCACATCCAAAAACAAGCCTGATTGACTTATTAGTAGAGAAATTTCGGTTTTTTGGTGTTTCCTGCGGCAAAATTCTATTTTATAGAGCAGAATCCTTCTAAAGTACTTTTCTTACCGTAACTGTACTGTAGCCGAGAGCAGTTCAATCCATACTAATGTCTTGGATTAAAGCCAACCTTTCGTGGTACTTCGGAATCCGCGAGATTCAAAGAGATAAGAAATCTACCAATAATCAAACAATTACATTTTTTCGAGGTCTTTATATAGAACGAAATTCTCAGTAAGAACATTGATATGTCATACTTCTCCTCACAAGAACCATAAAAGTGAATTCTGCAGAAAATACGTCAGTGGAAGATAGAGATATAAATAATATGTAAGATGCTTTGCATTAGTGGGCGTGGATAACACAAAAAACAAAGAAAAACAACTTAGCCAAAATCACCTGGCGCTTGACGCGATACGATAAGGCGATTCTAAGCTTCGATAGATTGGAGGTAGGGAACGTGAAGCGTAGTCGAATAAATCCGTCACCTACAAAGAGCTTTAGCTCAAAGAAAGAAGACGAGAGGAGGACAAAGAGACTCGTCAAGGTTTTTACCTGGATTTCAAGTTCGGGAATGAAGCAGTTGAGAGCCTCTTCGTTTCTTCGTAGGTCAGATGTGCACGAACGAAATCTTCTCCTCGGAGATCGATAGAAACGTCTGAAAAACGTTGCCTTTCTGATAACTTTGTCCCTTTTCAAAGAAGACAAAATGCTTTGCAAATGCATAGGAATAAGTTATTCCTTTTCCTTTTCAAAAAGCTGCAACGCTTCAGTGATGTGCACTAAAAATTTGCAGGATAAGCACTGCGATGAAGATCAAAAAAACTTTTTGTATAGCTTCGTTTGGTAAAAAGTAATTATTGTTGACACTACGTTACGCACACGTAAGTAGAGATTAATTGCCGTGGAAACGAAAAAACGAGGGATGCTAGCCAGACCATAATTTAGCCTGACGTAGATCGGAAGTTGCTTATCTGCAGCAGTTCTGCAGTCTCACTCAGTTGTTTTTGCATCCTGACTCGACAAGGGGGAGGAGGTGAAACATACTAGAGATTTTAACAAAAAATGTAGAGATAGTGAGTGTTTATTCTCCACATTTATCTCAAAAGTTCAATTCTATAAAGTCAGTTAGAAATTCAATCATAAAGTTATAAGAGGGTACATAAGATCAAACTTTTTCGAACAGCATAAAATAAAATTGCAATCTCGAAGATTTGTTTCTGAATATTTAACATTCACTGAATGCGGGGTCTCCTTCAAAACTGAATAGAATTATGAGAGAGTTTCGTAAAAAAAGGAGATGGCATATAGCACAGAGTAGGGCTTTATAGCATAATTAACATGGAGATGTAATTTTCAAAGGCTCTCAACCTATTTCAGCGTGCAAGCTCCGAGACGCTTTGTTTCCTAATTTTTAAGGTTTTGCTGCTCAGCAACACAATGAAGAGCGTAGGCTCATTCATAATCAAGCAATTAGGGCTTTACTTCACAAAACGAAGAGGTTTCTACAACAACAAAGAAAGAAGGGAAAACGAATGTGAGGGCCCATAGAAACTATGGAAATTGGTCCCTACTAAATCGAAGCGTTTTCATCAGGACACCCTATACAGTATAATTAGGTAGGTCCGAATGTTTGTGCGGTTTTTTTAGACCTATCCTCAAATCATTCACGTTGAAGATAGACAAACACCCTGAGCATTGTTCTACGCCAAATTTATTTCTCTTTTCAGCAGCGATGTTTTTGTTCGGACTCTATTATGCTCCTTTTAATACTTGCCACAATCTCCAACTCATGCATTTTACGTACCCTAGCTTTAGCTGTTTTTGAAGGTTTCGTTTTGGACTTTTGGAAAGGCTTTGATGGCAGTTGATGAAGTAAATAAAATGCTACAAAATCCAATTTCTAGCATGATAGCTGACTCTTCAGTATTTTTAAAAACAGGTTCTTCAAAAGTCTTAACATTTGCGAAGTCGTAAAATATACAAACGCTTCAGACACTAAGAAATCTTCGCAAATTGGATATTCCAAAAATCTATTATGATTAAACAGAAGTTTTAACCAACAAGTGAGTTTCTACCGCCTCGAAATATTGATTTTTGAAATTGTCGGATGCAGCCTGGGACGGATCAAAAAACTAGACTTAGGCAATTTTCCTCGAGCCCTTTACAAATAAGAAAGAAACATCTGTCAAAGAGAGCAGAAGAAGCTGCATCGAATGACACCCTAGCTGTTTGCCGTCTGATGTTCTACGAGGTTTGGAACAAACAACAAGTTAAATAGCATCAAAATGATAGTTTCAAAAAATTTGAAAAGCTAGCTATCGATGCCAAGAGATTGTATTACATTGCATTTTTTTTGCGTTATTCAGCTGTTATCAGAGCGTTTCCAGAAGCTCAGAAGAAATTGAAAAAAAGCGAAAGTTAGGTAAAACGGTGGGCAGGAACCAAGATTACCGATTCTGACGATTTTTTAAGCACATCAAAGGAATCCGAACGAAAACATTACTGCTGGAAGAGGAAGGAATTCGGCATGGAACATTTCTTAGAGCGTTTGTCCATCTTTATTTTGAATGATTTGAGGATAACTCTAGAAAACGGCACGAACTTGGACCCTAATATGTTGTACTATATGGTACAATAGATTGACTAGTTAATTATATCATAATAACCTTCCGTAGGTCCTCGGTTTCTTAAGCTTTGCAAGAAAGATAAAATTGAGCTTTCGTAATAGCGAACATAATGACAGCAGATTGTTGGAAAATATAAAATTCTACTAGTTACAATAGTTGCTGCTTTAGCACCTGATATCGTTTTTATCCTGCATAGCTCCGACGTGGAACTGCGCTGTATTGGCCGCGTACTACGCATTATCTGCGGTAAGTAAAGTCAATAATAGGCAGTTCGCTTCTTCATGCATACGATACCGTTCATGATCGGTGTTTTCCGCTTTTCGTTTACGGTGGGAAGCGGCTTACCGCAAAAAAATCAGCCCACCGATAACTTATCGGTAAGAATTTGAAAGACTGGTGTGGAATGACTAGCTCCATGGACCTACCGTACTCAGACAGGCACTTCTGTGCTTTGGATGATTTTTTTTTGCACAAATTATGAGCTTATTGTAGATCGCTCATTTACAATCAAAGATGTATACAAAATGTTGACAGAATTCCAACATTCTTGACTCAAAGATTCTGATTTGAAGTAACGAAAAACCGCAAGCGAGCAAGGTGCATGGATGATACTTCCTTGATGCCTGCTTTAAACGTGCTGCCGTGTTTCCCAAACCAGTCATAAATCATGGAAAATGAGCATTACCATAATTCGTAGAAAATCCGGATAGGGAGAAAGCACGAAAATGCTAAAAAAGCAAAAATTTGGACAACATTGCATGGCGCAACCATCGAAATAACGTCTAGCAGTCGCTAGATTAGAAGAGATTCAAATAGATTTGATTAAATTTTTTTTTTAGTGCAGAGACGTCTAGAAGAATACGGCACATGACAGAGGAGCTGATGAGTAAAAAAGCTCTTCATATGGTAGCAACCTCTAAGGAGGATGTATGTTGTTATGCATATATTCCAGTATTCTTTTTGCAGAAGCCTTTCAAGTAGAAGCAAGAAGAAGAAGAGGACATGGACTCAAAGCCATAGACCCTGTTCCCATATATTTGACATACGTTTTTTTCAATTGCTTTCTCAAGCACGTATGCAATAAAAACGCAGTTTTTTGCAGTATTTCCGCTTGAGAAAACAAGTAGATTTTCAGCTTGGTTCTTGAAGCATGTTGCAGATTTTTTCAAATAGAGAATCCAAAAAGTAACTGGTTTTCCATTTTTCATTATTGGCAGATGTAGATACGAATATGTGCCACTATAAATTTTTCCTTCCTTGACCACTCCACTTTTTTTTGATAAAAAAAAAAACAATCACAAAGTGCGTTTCCAAGCATCCTCTTCTACTGGTCAAGCAGTCGCTTTCCAATAACAAATTTGATAGAAGAAACGCTTTACTCTTTAAAGAAGACGGAATATGGATTATTTTTGTTTTTTGTAAACTTTTGCACACGGTATTCCCACAGCTCTGGCAGTTATTTTCACTGTCAATTCCAAAATTGACAGTATCGTGATGAAGTAATTGACGATTTTGATCTTTACATAAGCCGATTTTCAATCATCGTGCAGTTTAAAATTTGTTAACCAGAATTTTACCCTTCAAGATAGGGTCTCTCCTTTATTCTTATGCTTCCTTCTCAACTCATACAAAATCATTTTTAACCCTCGTCTAATAGATCGTTGCCTGCTTCTACTCAGAGAAGATTGTGAAGACTGAGTTAAACCAAAACTGGTGCTGATGCTTAGAATAAAGCCGTCCGTCACAAAGAGAATAGCCGCTTTGATCGGTTCTCATCGAAATCAATCGTGTAATTCGTAGTAAAACAAAATTAATGCAGCCTAGGAAAATGAAAGAAGTGCATCTGTTCAGAGACTAGGACTGAAAGTAAGGGAAAAACCTGATAAAGAGGTATTGACTGCAGTTTGCAGAGAAGAGGGTCCATGGATACGACGAAACTGAATTAGTCTGCTTGTTGCTTAAGCCTTCCTGCGGATGAGGGACTACAAACAACGAAAGAGGATTGAACATCTACAACTTCGTTAGGACTCAATCTGTACAACGGTAAACAGCGCATCTTTATAGAAAAGGCATGAGTTGATGATAAAGGGGTTAAATAAGTCTCGTTGCATAAATTTTGACATTTCCTGTGCATAATGGTTGAGATTCCGAAAATTACTAAAGCTTTGAAAGGCATATTTCGCATAGAATAAATTGCACGTTAAATTTCTAATATAATATCATGAGCATCACAAGGTTTAAAAAGCTAAGCTACATTACAGAAAATAGGAAGCTCGAGAAATAGTCTTTCTCAGGCTTTCGAAGAATGACCAAACGTTAGCCTCAATAATTATTAGGTTGGTGAAAGTAATGCGCGTTTTGCGAGTTTCATTTTGACGCGCTGTAACTTTCTAAAAAATACATTTGTCAATGCGATAAAGATCAGCAAAGACAGCAAACCTTTTTCAATACAGCACACTTTCACCTATACTCATATCGCAAAGGGACAGAGAAATATAAATTGATAAGCAAAAAAAGTTTGTAACGTTTTTAATTGATCGTAACTCCCTTCTTTGTTAGTATAAATGATAAGCAGCATATCTTGTAGGCGCAAGCCAGTAGTACAAAAGAATTGAGAAGGGCTTGAACAAAGAAGATTTGCGAAAAGGAAGAAATTAAAACCCAATGTCCGCCTTTTTGAACATTTTTTTCGTAGGCCTCAAAGACCCAAAATATGAAGTTTTTGATTGTCTGTGTCCTGAACAGCTAAATATTGTTGCAAAAACTGTCAACAAGAGGCCCAACCTTACATACGCTTACAGAAATGAGCAAGGCTTTGTCGATTGCCCTCTTCAAAAGGAATTTGTGGGCCATAGTATGACCAAAACGAATACTACCCGTGTTGAGGCAACGAAATCTCAGTCTGGATAAACTCTGAGAAAATAGCAAAGTGTGCATAATGCAGAAAATTTCTACTAGATACAGTAGCCGAATTTCTGAAAGAATGCCTTTATTTGCTCCTGAGTTGTGGCAAGAAAAGTAAATGCAATGAAATTTTGGTTTCGAGTGCGATTGTATGAAGCTCTATAAATTTCAAACGAATAAGACTAGATCCCGTATTAAATCATAGGATAGAACATGAAAAGAGCTTCTTGACAGTATGCTGAGTTTTTAACAAGAAGGAAGCTCGATGGAAAAAAAGTTGTACTGAAACAAGGCTAGAAATACGCGCATTTTTTGCATCAACCTAATAAATTTTTTAGTTTGAAAAAAGCTTTAGGTGAGTTTTTATGAGGTGTTCACAGAAACTCATACCGTGAGCTGCTGAAATTTGATTTTCCTGAGATTAAAATGACGATAGCTCGAATACCCCATAGCAACTGATTCTGATTGAGGTCTGGATGAGGTATTGAGATTAATCCGTTGTGTACAATCGCAAAGCTAAATTGGACTGCATTGGAATACGTAAAGGGAGCTCAAATATTTGGATTTAGAATCAAGGAAGCGGTTCTTCGCTATCACCGCAAAGACAGGCAATCTTCGCAGCGATTTGACAGGGTATTCCCATATTTCCTGTGATTTCAGCGACTCCTGTGACTTCTGCGATCCCATCCGTTAACCGTGGAGCGCCAAACTCATTCAATAATGATGTCAGTAGTACCGCATTGAAATTGACATTTTGCACATTTTCCAGGCACAGCCAGGAAGGCATTGACTACGTTAGAGCACTATAGACTGGAGTGAGTACTGCTTATCGGATCTGCAACATAAGAGTAGATGTTTTTGCGCCCTATGGACAAGGGGAGTCACAGGAGTCGCAGGAACCACGGAAGCATGGAAATTGCAGAAATTGTAGGAGGAACGTGGCCGAAATCAAACATTTTAATTGTAAATGTTACTTGGGTACTGAATCGAATCCGTGTTGGCAGACAAGGTGTAGAGCTCCATCGCTGCGGAAGCGTTCGCGGATCTCCTCATTCCATGGTCTGACATCACCCACGTAGAGTTGTTCCAGAAGTGATAGAGGTGGCTGCAAAAATTTGAGAACATTGAAGCCGTTGTTCCCAGAAAAATCAGAGGAATAAGAATATCGCTGTAAATATACAGTATCCTTAATACCGTATCCACACGTACAACGCGAGCAGCCAACGCATCGCCGTGCTTCTTGATAGCACCCCTGCTCGCTTTTCACTATTTATTTTGAAATTTAAAACATAAGAAATGCGCTCCTTTTCAAATCATCTTCGTTCTGGACAGTCTCGCACTTTCGTTCCTAAGGGTCGAAGTTGTGGCACAATTGAAGTTGTTGACATTCCAATAAGAACCCTTGATGGCGCCTTTACCTATTAGTACTATTTTTATTTAGACATGCGCTCGCAGAAAGCAGCTTTCGGTACGAAAGCGAAACATTCTTGATACTCCATAAAGACGATCCCTCAAATTCTCCCTACTTCAGTGTATGCGTGTATCCTTTTCCAAACTTTTTTCTTGACACTCTTTTTCCGCTGCAAAGTCACGAGCCCATGAATGCATGTGACCAAGGCATGTTTTTTAAAGAAAAATTTCATTATGTGGACGCAGTCACAATGTGCCAAATGTGCTCATTGTTGACTAGTGCTGCTGACGTGCAAACAAGGGCCAGTTTGAATGTCAAATAAAGCTCTTTGCAGTCGTTTATAAAATCCTGTGAATTATCGAATTTGACGGTCTCAACACGATTCCTACAGAAGCTGTTAAATATGGACGCGATCTTGAGCACCCATCAATAGGGAAATGAAATCAAGCTCTACAAGAAGAATTTGAAAGTTTGCAGCAAGTTTGATAAGCATTATGCTTCAAGCCGCAACACTTGGTGCATTTTTCTGATTGCTAGAAATCAACGAAAAATAATGAGTTAACTTTCCAAGCTTTGCCTTAGCGGTTCTGAGTTCCTTGCAAATATGTAATAATATATCATTCATTCTCTGACTAACTGACTTGTAAGAGACGCGAGCACGCTTTGCATACGTTTGATCGACAAGTTCATGAATGAGTTCTAACGCGTTTTGGTTAATCACTAACAGGAATTCGTGAAGAACGTGTTCGTGCCAGCTTGGATTAACGAGCTTATCCACGAATTCCAATAGTAAATCAACCAAAACGCGTTAAAACTCATTCATGAACTTGTTAACAGAATGTACGCAAAGCATGCTTGCGTCTCCTAGTCAGAGAATAAATGATAGCTTATTCACACAATACTGCCACAAAATTTGCATCCTTGTAGGGTGCTCTAGTTCTTGAGAAATACCAATTTGAAAATTCGATGAAGAAAAGGCTTATGGGACGATTTAATATTAGGTTGGTTCATAATAAATGCACGTTTTTCCTATCTCTTCTATCAAACGCTAGTTTTCAATCAAAAATTGTTTCTCTCCAAAACCATCTAGTTTATCGGAAAGCTTGTTCTTCTATTTTCTGACATAACCGAAGTTCCGTACCTTCAAAAAGGAACTCAAACTTGAAATTTTTCCTTTCATTCGACTTGCTCTAAATCCATGAAAAAATGCTCAAACTTGTTTCAAAAAATATGTGTTATAATCGCGAAGATTTGTGCTACAAAATGCTCACCAAGGCTAAATTTTTCAAAAATCCTGAGCCGAGAAGCTAATAAACTTAGCTGAATGCTGGTATCACTCGGAGCCTTATGTAATGCTTACGTGGGAAGCAATTACAAAACTTTCACCTGGTTCTAGTAGAGAAGACCAAGGACTACTAATGATAGGAAAACGGCGGAGTCTCCTCGTTTCTCAAATGAGAAAAAAATTGTAGGAATCTAAAAAATACAGTTTTTTGCCTGCTCTATATGCAGGAGAAAAGGTACTTTTGCTTTCTTGGCAATATTTTTTCCGCAGAAATTTTTTGGTAAAAGCCAAGTTCCACGCCACTAATGAATCGACCATTGGCTACACGTGTAGCACGCTGTACAGCGAGCAAAGTTTGCTCCATTCTAGTCTTTTTGAGAGTAAGTTATGCTCTTTCAAACTAGAGCTTTTCAGAAAAAGTTTTCGGTAATTTTTGAGCCGGAAAATCTTTACCGTGGTGAGTACAATCGTAGCTAAAAGCTTGCTTTTACAACAGTTTTTGATGTGCTCAGAAAGATTGTTTCGGAAAAGAATTATCTTCACTAGAAATGAAAGTTGAAAAAAAGGGCATTAATTATGAACCAACCTAATATTACCCAGCTCACCATTTTATATGCTAGAAACTCTATACATGCATAAGCCGATGCATAAGCTAGCGGTACTTTTTTCTACTCTATCACATTTCTACCTGTCCAGTACCTGATTATGAACTGTTAGCAACTTGCTCTGGTAGTACTAGCTAGGTTGTTTTGAAAATACTACTCGTTTTATTGCTTTCCATTTATCACATTTTTTCAAGAAACATTTTGCCTATCGCGGTAATGTAAATATAATGACAAGCGCCATGCTCCGTCTGACATTCAGAGTTCCCTGCTTGCTGTTAAAGGCAGCGTCCACCCAGAATTTGGCCCCCCATGTTTTCGTCATTCTGGGGCCTTTTCGTGGCCCTGATTACAGTTCTGAACTTCAAATTCGCCAAAATTCACAAAAAACCCAATTCCTGGGGACCTTTTCTTGAGGGCGTGGACGAGTTTCGAATCGCTAGTCCCCGTCGGCAGGCCAGCGGGAAGGAGCTGCAACTGCATGGGTGCAGTTGCATTGCAGGGTGCGATGTGCAGTTCTGCTCACTACCTTGTCAATACGTGTCGGGAGGCACGTATTGACAAGATAGTGAGCAGTCCCTGGTGGGCGGAGTCTGATATCAGACTCCGCCCAGCCAGGGACTTTGAGGCCCCCTATCTCCTTTCAGAGACAACGTTAGAAGACCGGACCAACGCAGATGGCCCTTTACTGGGGCCTGCATTCAGGATCGACACTGATCGGAGGGGGTTAGGTTTAGCCTGGACACTGCCTTTAAGGAACGCGTGCAGAAACTGCGTTCATCGTTGATGACCCTTCTTTTGCGATGTATAAATTTTCCATGCAAAAATAACATCGATCTTCGACCACTAAATATTTTTGGAATTAGGGAAAACATTGACGATATTCGTCTGTCCATCTGTGAGCGCATAGCCATATTAGAATTTACTTTTTTGATTAAAATGTTGCGAGAGCTTGAAGTTCTTGTTTCTTCCTGATTTGCTTTCTCTGTAAGGTTAACAATGAGCCTTTGCGATATCAATAAGTACTCAACCCTTTAAAAACAAGATTCGGATTACGACAAACCTGAATCAGGGAAATGTTACAATATAATTAAGAGAGAGCAAGGCAGAACTTATGACACTACTTAATGTGTCCAGATTAGCGACAATACGTAAAAAAGGGGGGCGCTCGTTACGTGCGGGCTGCCAAATGGAAAACGTCGCAACGCGGCGTTATAGTAACCGCGCGGGGGAAGCAGCAGTGTAGAAAACTTGTCAGATTTATATCACTTGTTTACCAATGCCTTTTCCATAATATTAGTGTTTTACCTCCTTCAATTTCTGTCTTTTTTGTCCTTTAACAGCTCATTTTACAATTTTTGTGGCAGAACTTCAAATAATTGAGTAAATCTAATGTAAGAATAGTCTGTGAACCTCAATAAAGGATGAGAAACTGAAAAACTATGTGCTGCGGATCATGCTGGCTGAATTCTCCGAGTGCGTCACTGGCAGCCTGCCGCGCGCGACGTTTTCCAATTGGCAGCCCGCACGTAACGATACGCCCCCGTAAAAAAGGCTCAACGCTAGAAACGTGCAAAATGGCCTTTTGATCATAGGTGTCATGTGGCTATTGTGATTTGCACAACAAGATTCGGTTGGCTTAAAAATGATTTCGTTTTGACGCTCAAATCTCTGTGAATTGAATCCCATATTTTACGCACTTCCTCGGCCTTTGCTTTCACATAGCTTCAGGCCTTGCATCTGGCTTCGAAAAGTCCCGTCTCAAAAAGGCTAGATTTCTAATTTGGATACAAACTAGCTCTTTGCTGAGTAAGCAGCAGCAACAACTGAGCTAATTTGAATTTCTATAAATAGAATCATGAAATTTTCTCATTAAAAAATCAAGTATCCTAAACCTTTTTGCTCCTTTTCGCTGAGTAAATACTTCCTCTCAAGCAGAAAGTACCTTCCTGTTTTCATCAAGACATCAGAAAAAAATTCTGACAACTCGTACAACTAACCAAAGTTATTTATTAGCCGTCTCAGTGATAAGCGCTAAATCTCACCTGATTCAAATGCGTAAGTGACTGTGTGAGGGGTGAGATTGGTCTGAGCACTTCATCGGAAATCTGATTGTAGGGCAATGAAACAGCTGAAAAAACGAGGTTCACAGAATTTTTCTTGTTTAGACAAATCTTAAACTTACTGTACAAACTATCAATCAATCTCGCATCGGTAATGCTATCGAAGAGGGCATTTTCGGAGAAGGCGTAAACGACGTCTACGAACCGATCCACGATGCATGCGTAGAGCGTAGCGGGTTCGTAACGGTGCCAGGCAACTCGCTCACAGCTCGAGCTTAACTGCAATGAACAGTTGTGATAAGGCAATACGCATCGAATTGTTCGTTTTTCAGCTTGCAGCTGTTACACTGATGATTTATGTGTGCGTTATAAAAGTAGCGCTCCACTTCCGAGCAGTTTGTGAAAGAGCTATTCTGGCTGCAGAGTTCTGCACTAATGTTTCCGCAACCTCGGCGCTCATTGAGGCATATTATTCGTGAATTTGTGTTAAAAAGCATAGGTGGCTCTTTGATTTTGAGCATGTAATTTTGATTCTATATTTAGCCTAAAAAACCAACGTTTTTTGCGCACTTCAGTTCTACAAACATTGAAGCGGAATGGCGAATCGGGGGGGGGGGGTTCCCCATTTCCAATGATTTTCAAAAGTAACCTACTTGAGTTATAGAATTGCGCAAGTGACTTGTTTTTACCTGTAAATTATTCAAAAGCTTTCCAAAAATTTCCAAAAATTTGGATTACCCTCTTAAAAAGATTTTCCGGGATCCACAAAAAATTCAGGAAGCAACCCGAAAAAATTTCAAGGGCTTGGCTAACGTCAAGCCCCTTCATTCAGAAAAACCTCCTGCCCACCCCACTGTCCCGAATAAAATTTCTCGAATCGCCACCGGAAAAAACAGAGCACATGAGGGATCGGGACTATTTTTGACATCCCTATTCAAATAGCTTTCATTCAATGATTACTCCCTTACTATCGGATGTGAAGTGGTCCGTAAAAAACCATGGAGGCAACAAATCTAGGGGACAGAATGAAATAATTCATGGAAAAGAATGCTGAGCACTTTGGATTCAATTGTCACGTACTTCTACATCAATCTGAAGACATAGCTACACAGATGTACGAAGCAAATATTGTCCATTTATCGTAGGACTCTCAGCCAACAGAAAAGCAAAAAAGAAGCGACCCAGTATGGAGAAATAACTTATAGACTTAGAACGCCACGGCACGCATGCTTGACAAGCAAAAACTTGTTTGTTCTTGATTTGCGTTAATGTGCTCCAAACACTCGAAAAGGGAAAAACTTGAGGAGCTGAAGGAATGTGTAACAAATAGTAAGCTGAACTGTCATTTTTTGTAGTTGGATATGCCTCTATGATGTCGGTGATGCGCAAACTCGGCATAAGTATGAGCGGTTTTCAGGGCACACTGTTCATGTAGTGCAAACAAGACTCGGCACGAGCTGGCACCAAAGAAATTTCAAATAAAGTTCCCTTTGATCTTGAAAACTTCGTACGATGTCCCGCTTGATTCTAAACCCTACACGAATAAACTCTCCAAAAAGAAACGTCGACCTAAAAAAACCTCGCAATTTTTGTGTCTTTTCGGCCACAAAAACGATATATTCTTTGCTTTTTGTTCCAAAGACAAGATAATATCCAGCTTGACCCGGTGCCAGCCGTGCCGAGCCCTGAGTGCCAATAAAGACTAATTTGAACTGAGAAATTTTTTTCAAAAAAAACGAAAGAGAAGAGGACACACTAGGGTGGAGGCTCAAACGTTTTAGCCGTCGATTTTGAGAAATTGACATTTCTCACTGAGTGTTGAATAGAGCAATAAGCGATTAAACTATAATATAAATCATCATGACCTTCTCATGTTGCATTTTCGAAGAGCACATCTACTTAAAATACCAAAAAAAGGGTCCTAAAGCACTTAAGGCACCTTTTTTCATCTCAACGCCATCTCATCCCCCCGCCCAATGCGAATCTTGTGAGTAAAACTTACAAAGACACTGCAGTATGGCGCAGATGCATTATTTTCACTAGTAGGTACGACAACTGGTCCCGTTTGGCGTTGAGCAACAAAGTATACCCGTTTTTCACTCGAAGTTGGCCGTTCAACACTACCTTTCAAAAATCGCCACTGCGACGTCATCAACGCCTAAAAAGCGCGTAAACAAATAAAAAATCCCTTTTGAAGCAGTCTAATTCAACGAACCTCTGCCTTCTCCGTAATGACTTCAGTGCGCTCATTTCTGTACAAAACCTCGTGACCTGGTCCTGCATTTAGCTGCGAATCGCTGGAGTATCGTAGAAGGCCAGGCGATATGTGGCGACAAACGAGCATAAGTCCATCGGCACTGGCTCGAGCAAGGAAATTTGCTACGAAAACGGCTAATTTCCGTCGCCGTGCAGCTTCGACCACCGAAGAGACGAGCGACCATACTAACACTATCATCTCCTCATCCTGAAAAAATTGTGTAGCATAAAAATAACATGATTTGAGCATATTCCACGTAAAAGGACTTTTGCATGACGTCAGTTTTATTGCAAGAGAATTTGCTGGTTGTAAATGTCTATAAAAATGCTGTTGGAATTTTATGACGAACCCTCAGCCGAAAGATTGTTAATGTTTTGCAAAAGTGATCAAATCATACTGCAACCAGTTTTTTGAAATGGTTCTTTGATCTACCACATCATCATCTGAGAAAAAAACTAAAATATTTCTTAGTAATCCTTTTTTACAAGAAGTTAGTCTTAAAAGATGCTACAATCTAGATCTATATATCTTTATACTGGCATAATCGTGATCATTAGCTCGAACTACGGAGAACAAGTGTTCATGGTAATTTTGTAAACGCAGTTCTATTCTTTCAGTCTTACCTTCCCATAATCTCCTAATAAACTTATCTACAAGATGTTTACTAAAGCTATGCAGCATAATTTTATGTAGAAGTAATCTCAACTTCCGGTTCCATGTGCAAGTGCATCATCTTCCGATTGAAAAAAAATCAGGCATGGATTTCAAAAATTTGACAATTCCATAGTTTTCAGTGGAAAATGTGTTGAAGTCGCTTATGTTCATTTTTCCTCGTTTATCACTGCGCTTAAGTTGCCCATGAGGACATGCAGGTGTTAGTAAAAACATCACAGCCCCATATTGTTGAAAAAAAGCTTCATATCCATCAGCTATATTTTGGTCCAGTGCTACATTGATGTTAACTTCTGCAAAAGAACATTTGTAATAAACTTGAGGAAAGTGTAAATTCACCTGCGCAGTTGTTTGGTATGGAGAACATCCGATGAGCCTGCAGTATTCCCAATGGACGAATCTTTCTGCAAAGATAGAATAGCCGTTTGCAAAAAGAAACCACAAGCGAAAATAAACGACGGTGATGTCAGACAAAGCGGATTCCTTAGGCGCATTGGATGTCAGTGAAATGCTAGAATAACTGAGTAACTACAAGCGCAAACGTATCAGGATAATTTAGCAGACCTGCAAAAATTAGGTACATGCTGCTCAATACAAATCGAATTTTCTCTGGAGCAGCCAACAAATGATTTTACTCCACACCTCGATTTTTAAAAACTGTAAAGCTATTCATCTCGATAAAACTCCATCGAAAACAGCCTTTTCAAAGGTGTATACTTATGCTATGCTACTGAGTAAGAATACTATTAGTGCCTAATCTTCAACACCTATCACCAAAACTAATAATGAACTGTACATTTTTCGAAAAGTATTTGTTTGACATTATTGATTGTTTTGTAAGCAAAATGAATTCTTTGTCTTCCATACTTTTCACAATGATGAAAAGCGAAGACTATTGGAATGAGAAGAGAGTTTGAGAGTTTAGGCTAGCGATCATGCTTTCTATGATTCTCTAATAAATTTAGCTGCAATCACTCTTCAGAAAGAAACTCTTTGAAGATGCTAAAAATGTACATTTTCTGCCAATGGAAAATTTTAGCGCAGCATAAAACATGGAGACCCTACAGAATTCTTATGGGCAACTAGCTGGCTTACCCGGCTCCGCCGTATCCGGACCAAACTTGGCACACATACACTTCGGGCCCGGCGGGTGTCACAGTCCACTTTTCGTTATCGATCGATGTCGATTTTACCGTTTTTTATCGATTTTTTTGCAGAGTTCACCTACAGGGCTAGGAGTTGGCACAGGGGGAAGTGAGCATGGGGATTTCGAATACAATATTAGTTTTCAGGATCGTCCATTACTTTTATTGATTTTATCGATTTTTTGTAAATTTTGACATGCGAGGCTGGGATTTTGCACAGGGGGGTAATCGAGCATGCTGATTACGAACACAATATTAGTTTTCAGGATCGTCCATTACTTTTATCGATTTTATCGATTTTTTTTGTAAAATTTGACCTGCGGGGCTGGGAGTTTGCACAGGGGGTAATCGAGCATGCAGATTACGAATACAATATTAGTTTTCAAGATCGTCCATTACTTTTATCGATTTTATCGATTTTTTTGTAAAGTTTGACCTGCGGGGCTGGGAGTTTGCACAGGGGTGTAATCGAGCATGCTGATCACCCCCCTTAGGGAAGATCAGCATGCTCGATTACCCCCCTGTGCCAACTCCCAGCCCCCTAGCTCAAACTTTGCAAAAAAAATCGATAAAATCGATAAAAGTAATCGATAATCCCGAAAACCAATACTGTATTCGGAATCCCCATGCTCGATTACCCCCCTGTGCGAACTCCCAGCCCCGTAGCTCAAACTTTGCAAAAAAATCGATAAAATCGATAAAAGTAATCGATAATCCTGAAAACCAATATTGTATTCGGAATCCCCATGCTCGATTACCCCCCTGTGCCAACTCCCAGCCTCGTAGCTCAAACTTTGCAAAAAAATCGATAAAATCGATAAAAGTAATCGATAATCCTAAAAACCAATATTGTATTTGGAATCCCCATGCTCGATTACCCCCCTGTGCCAACTCCCAGCCCCGTAGGTGAACTCAGCAAAAAAATCGATAAAAATCGATAAAATCGATATCGATCGATGATGAAAAGTAGCCTATGACACCCGCCGGGGCCCGAAGTGTATGTGTGCCAAGTTTGGTCCGGATCGGTTCAGAAATGGAATTTTCTATTCGGAACATACGTACACACATACATACAGACAGACAAACAGACATTCAGCTTTATATATAAGATGCAGCTTCAACTGTCCAGGTATTGCTTCTGACTATAACTTTTTCGCAACAGGCGCCGATTCTATGCGGATGGCTATTCCTGTATGATAGGTCCGCAAATGCAAGACATTACCCGAAGATATCTGCAAGGGTCAAAAGTTTATCTTTTTTGCAGAAGAAAAACACTTAAGCAGTTCGTTAGAAAATGGTGCAATTTTAGGGTTGAAGTACGGCCTTTCAGAATTCGCGCAAAAAAAATCTTAAACTTGTTTGCTCTCAAGATAGGCTCATCCCATATAACCTATATATATAAGCTCTCCAGTGCCTATCAAGCTTGAGATAATCATGCACAGTGGCGGCCCCAGGATTTTCGTTCAGGGGAGAGGGGGGGGGGGGGGGGGAAGGCGGCGACAAAACATTTTTCAATGGAGGTGCGTGGCATTAGCCACGCATTCTAATTTTTGGGGTGCTTCCCAGAATTTTTGTAGTTCCAAAACCCTACAGCCACGTCCCAAAAAAATTTTTTTACAAGGCTAATTTGAATCTTCAAAGAAATTTAAAATGTTGATTATTTACAAATACAAACAACTTGCACATTTTCATAACTTATGTAAATAACTTTCAAAAACTTGGCGACCCACTCTCGGGGGAGGGGGGGGGGGAGGGGAGGGGGGAAGGGGCTCGCTCGCCACTATCATATACAGGTAAGATTTTTTGAGTCGACCTTTCTTTCATGTCTTGGAGACATTTTTTTGCAGAAAATTGCATTTCTTGTGAAGGAACAATTTTCTTGAAGCAGTCTAACAAACCGAGAACTTTGTACAACTCAACATTCGCTTAACAGAACCGCAGAATTTTACAGAACCAATGATGGCAGAAAAACATTTCTATGAAAGATCTACGGTTTAAGGGTCCAAAACGAATGCAGGATGTTGTAGTCCAAATCGAAGTTAGATTTGACAGAACTGTGAGTGAAAAATTGAACTATTTTTTCTGGGAGCAGTAAAAGGTCTATATGAATGGATGTGACTGTTCCAGAATATCAGCAAGATAAGTTGGGAAGTCTTAAAAAAGCATTTAACGTTAACGAAAGTTTTCTACGACAAATCAAACGAATGCTCGCCCTAATTCTAATACATTGCATGTTCCTTGATACCGATGGATGAAGGTTCAGAGATTATCGAAGCAGGTAAATGAATATATTGATTTGGAGAAAATCCGGTCACATTACATTTTTCACAATCACAACTCATGCGACTATTATTCGTTTGTAATACTTTAGCAAAAGCAATCTCAATAATTCTCTTTTGTCTATGCAGTCTTAAGAAAAACGTGGTCCACCTCCAGACAAATTCAAATGCAGCAGAAGCTGTTTTCGATACAAAATTGCGCTTGGGTTTAGTAAAAAGCTTTATACTAAAAGCTGGTCCAGTGAAAGATTCCGGGCACATCAAAGTGGCTTTAACGAGGCGGAAACGTTCAGTAATTTTTTAAAACAATGGATTCTACAGCTTAAGACTTTAACGCTTCAAAAGTTCGGAAAAAATTATGCACAAATAGATAAATTTTATATCGACTTTTTCGTTTGCGTTCATGCTGCTCGCTGCGGATGACACCAAAGGTTTTATAAAAAATGTTCAATTAGTCTATTAAATAGGCTCTAGAATCTACTCAGCAGTCAAATTTTCAAATCTTTTTCGGGAAAATCAGATCAAATCTTTAGCGCCTAATGCATATTCGTGAAACATCACGCCTAAGTGATAACAAAACGTAGAGGACATTGTATATAGGATCACGGTTATAAATTTGACAATGCTTCAAAAGATTTTAGCGCATAGAGTCATAAAGCATGCATCTCTAGGCGTTAAGATACAACGAATCACGATGCTTTGCAAAGCATTCTCCTATATCGTTCCAGCGGAAGAATGGTGAAGCATACATCATTGCTTCCTAATAATATCAAGTGCAGAATGGAATAGATGCCAATTTGCGTCATATCCGGTGAAGCCGTTGCATAGCCATATGCTGCTCGCAGGTGGAGCATGAAAAATAGGATTTACGGGCGCAAATTCATACTTTTTTATTTGCTGAAACTTTGCGCAGGTTTTCAGATTGCAGCTGGTACGATATTTTTTGGCTATTCTATTAGGCTGTCCCGAAAGTTTTGTCGGTTTTTTCAAGCCACTGCAAAACCACGCACAATAAAGAACTGAAAGAGCTTCAACATGTACTCGACGCAGCTTTTCCTTCTCTTCCTTATGGATACATTTTCTTACCATAACCTTGTACGCTTTTTTTTGATAATTGCCAAAATTCTCCACCTGTTAATTTTACCTACTCAAAGTTAGGCTAATTTTTGAAAATTTCGTTACAAAGTTTCGAAAAGGATTAAGTATGTGTCGAATAGAGCAACTCTCGGACTACATGATGGTATTTTTAGATACTCCTAATATGCTGATTTTATTTTCAAAAAATTAATTCCCCGGAGGTCTCGATTTTTGACAAAGTCATAAAACACGCAACTGCATAAATCGCACGAAAGCTTTTGAAGTTTCTGCGTAATAAAACATAATTCTTACTAAACATCATTTATGCAACATAATCAACTTTTATTCGCTTCGAAAAAGCAGCTCTTTGGAATTTTTGGTACTTTTACGTGTTAAACTTAATCAAAAAGCCGCGGTTTTTATTGAATAATTAATTATAACGGACTTAGTAAACGTGGCTTATGTAATCTAAAATGAATACAATGTAGCCAAAGGTTTGGTCTACATAACAGTTACTAGCGCTCTTTAAAAACATTAGAATAAAAAATTCTAAAATTCGGGAAAGGTTTGGCGTTACTGCTGAGCTGCTCAAAAAGCCATGGCGATAACATTGCAAAGACAGAGTAGATCAGAGAGCAAGTATAACTGTAAGAAAGTAGATAAAAATTTGAATCAAATGGTATCAAGGTCGTCCATGGATTGGTGCTCTGTGAGTTTTAGTGAGCGATGAAAGAAACCGACAAAACTTTCGGGACAACCTAATATAATAAGTAAAAATACACTTGAGCTGAAAAAAGTTTGAAACCGCAGTGCTCAGAAATGCTTGTATTGTAAAGATTGGTTTTTATCTGATTGACTTTCAAGCATGTGAATAACGGAAGGGGAAAAGTTGTCATAAATTTG